AGGAAATATAAAATAGCAGGAACATTTAAATAAGTTTGATTCTTTATCGGATCATAAAAACCCACTTTCTGAAGATCTTTTCCTTCTCTTCGGGATCGAACATCAATTGCAACGATTCATTGAGATAAATGTAGATGAACAACAACACCCCCCCCCCTGCCGAAACGTAGAGGAAGATTTCTCCTCATACAACTCGAGAAAAATGATTGATTAAAAGTTTTGTCTCTATGTGGAATTCTATCTAAGAAATGACAATTGGATCTATAAAATGATCAAAGCAATTAAAGATGTAAAATATGTGTGATAAAGTGTATTAGTCCAACTACAAGGCTATATCAATGATATATGATTTTAAATTAGCAGTTAATTGTACAAGAGATCTTTTACAAAACGTTCCAAAATTAATTAGGTACATCCATATCTTCACTCTAAAAATAGAATAGGTGATTTGAATCATTTCTTCTTTTTCAATTTTCAAACTCTAATCGCAACTTAGGATTCAAAATCAGTCAAAAATTGTATTTGAAGAAACGTTGAATAATGAAATTGATTCAATTGAGCAAAAGATGAGTGTTTTATTAAGTTGAAGATTTCTGAACTATTCGTTCAAAAATTTGATTACACAAGTATTTTAATCTTTTATTCGTCATTCTAGAGTATACTAAGTTCAAAAATTACTAAGTCAAACATAACAATGTTGATTCACATCTTGCCAATGGAATATGAAAAATGTTTAAATCAATCACATTATAAATGGTATCGTTATCAAAGATTATGATTCATATGAAGACGTTATTGCTACAATTTCAAAGCAACTAAAAATCAATGATACTTGTTTAAGTTTAGAAATCAAATACATTTTGACAGATAATTGTATACTTAGGGAGAAAGTGAAAGTTTTTTTTAAAAAAAAGAAAAAACAAAATGATACATGGCAGATTGAATGTATACAAGATATACAGGTTGTGAACATTTAATTTGATATCCTAGCACGGGCCCCATCTGCTTTCGATGAAGCTGAAGAAGAGGGTAATCTTATAATCTCATATCATAATCAAAAAGAGGTAAGAGACAACAAGGATAAAGAAGCTCTCAAGTTATGATGGTGCACCTAAGTTATTGCTTAAAGATTTCAATTTAGAGTAGCTAATAAATTTGAAGAAATGATCTCAAATTTGAGTCGTTTATCTATCCGTATTTTCAGAGCTAGGATATACGGAAGATATTGTTCTTGTTTTGCTTTTTAAGAGAGGTGGAGTTACTGTATCTCGTTGTTGAGATACCGTAGCACAGTTAAAGGAATGTTGATAATCACCTTCACATATGTTTCAGAAGGTGTAGTTGTTTTTCATCCGAAAAGAGAATTACTGCACATACATAACAACACTTATTAATTTTCTGATATAAAATTATTCAATTATTTTTTTAAAATATCAAAAATAAAATTATTATTTTTTTGACAAATATAACAAAATAAATATTATCGGAAATTTCAGAACTCCTAAATTTGATATCTTAAATAGTTATAGTGCAAATGTCTCATATAAATGAAACCAAAAGCAATGAGTTGTGTACTAACCCCTTTTCCATCCCACAAAAATAATATAACTAAAGAGAAAAATAAGTAAACTTTGAAATCCACTAAAAATATTATCACCTCCATCATGTGGCCACTAAGCTTAACACGCTATAGTTATGAGCATCAAGTAATTAAATATAATTCTTTTTGGCCTACATCTATGGTTCAACTATCCAATATTGTGGTTTTTTTTTTCTTTTTTTTCTTGTGGTTTTGTTGACAATAACAAGACAAAAAAAAGAGAGTTGATAGCTATTATTTACCCAAATTAAGATGAGTTGAAGATGAGGACTTGAGCTTGAATTAAAAAAGACAAGCTCAAGATGTTACCCCTCATAGTCTAATACATTGAACATGAAGAATTGCTTTTTGTTAGTTGAGATAGATAAAAGTTGAATTGTCAAATCATCAATATATGTATCTTTTATTTGGGCTTTTGTTTAGTAATCAACAGTGGGATAAAATTTGTAAGTCCAAATATGATATTAAACTTAAAAAAATTATGAGAAAGTCAAAGAAAAAATAAAATAAAATATATATATATATAAAATAAATTTTAAAAATTTATATGTATAAATGATGGCGCACAATTTTTTTTTTAAAAAAAACGACACATTAATTTATTGCAAAAGTTTAGAATCTGCAGAATCTTTGGAAGATATTTTTTGTTTTGCGGTCAATCTTTGAGAGATCAGCGTTGCTAAAAGCCATGCAAAATTATTTACTAAATAGCTAGTGGACGATTTGATTGAAGTTTCCATCTCCCTTCTACACAATTTTTTTGAAATATTTCCTCTGATTTTCGGTTGAAATGTCAAAATTTAATTTTTACCATTTTATATAATCAGTTAATGATAAAGATTAAAGGGTAATATCAAAAGAGTTATTAATTTGTTAAAATGAACAAGTAAAAATAATGAAATGATTTATTTTAATATAAAAGTCAAATAAAATGAAACGAAAGGATATCACCCAATAATGTCCAACAGATCCATGACGTTGTTCTGTCCCACACTAATTATACCAGTCTAGTCCATAATTAATTTGCCGTTATAAGTTTCATGTTTTATAATCAATTAATCTCATCGTTATTATTACTTATTAGGACACCTTATCTATTTTATTTTCATCGATAAGATAGGACGAATAGACTCAAAACTTTGGTCGATGCATTTTATTATTATTACATAGATGACAAACCGCCAATAAGCTCAACATTATTTAGAACTTTATTAGTACTAGAGAACATGGCCACGCTTTGCGCGAGGGTTAAAAATATGTGTTAGAATAATTATTCTTGTGGATTAATTATATCATTATATCATCCAACCGTATCATTATCTCTTCATTTGAAATGATACATGCTCTATTAAAAAATATTTTATTTCCATTGCACTAAATGGGGGAATTGTTAGTATGACAACGTCGTATCATTTGTTATTAGATTGAATTTTAGAGAATATATTCTTTAATAAAAAATTATTTCATCTCCCTATTACATTGAAACCAATAAATGGAAAACGTCTCGTCATTATTTGTAAGATTGATCTAGTGAAATTCCTCTGTGTATATATTTTTTCAAGTGCTCTTCTTTCTTTTTGAAATATGCAATTCGCTATTGCATAATATTTTCATACATCACTTTAACCGCTTTGCTTGATTTTTCAGTTGTATCTGTATTAAAAATAAACGTTTTACAACTTAATATAGTTATGAATATTAACATTAATATTTTACCTTGACAATTCTCCGAACTAATTTGTTGGGGTTGATCCATAATTTTCTTATCAATTGTAGTACTTTTGTATAAGTATTTGTCAAAGTCAAACTAAGATAAAGTGTTGTAATAAAATATAATTTAAATATAATAATATGGAACATTTGAAAAACTAACCTCAATTAATCACTATGAGCAGATAGTGGCTATGAAGATAAATGGTGTGTCTTGATATTTTTAATTTTTTTTGTGGTATTTATACCACTTTTTTCATTTGTAGGTTGTGCTTTCCATTTAATTGTTTAAATTATGAATTAATTTTTTGAATTTGTTAAATGTTTGTGTAAAGGTAAGTGTCAAGATTTTGATAAATAATTAGAGGAAAGTTGGGGATTTGTATTGTTATTTATTTATTATGAAAGATATGTTATGCAAATATAGTAAATGAAAAGGTGTAAAGGATTAGTTTAGAATGGTGTAATTGTATAAAAAATAATTCATATGTAAGTTCATTAACGCACATGATTTTGTAATATTGTTGGTATTTTTCTCTTTTGAAAAATTAGTGTATTGTAAACTTTTTTTCCTTGGTTGTACTCTCCAATTAATTCTTTTAAATAATGAGCTTATTTTTGAAACAACTCCATGGAGAATTGCTATGTATAGATTGATTAATCATGAAAAATTAAATAGAAGGAAGTTGAAAAGACATGCATGATATTTAAGTAAAGAATGCAAATACATAGATATTTTTTTTGTAACTCATGAAACACATTTTTAAATATTATTATTATCATTTACAAAAGTAAATTTTAATAAATTTTTCAATAACACATTATCTTAAAGCACTATAATCAATAGACATTTCCAATAGTGTAGACTCACTGAAGCACTATACGGAAACCTATATACTCTTAATTAGTATTAATCTATCAAACAACAAATGTTAAATATTTAATGGAATTATTATTTTAGTTATTTATTGAAAAAAAGAGGGAATCAAAAACTTAAGAAATTTTAATAATAAATAAATAAACTATAAATAGTCAATCTTTCTATGTATTATACTGTATTTTGAAAATTAATTAACTTTACATTCTCATGTTGTATCAAAAGTTGATTCACATAACTATAAAATTACATCTACATGCTTTCTTGAGTAGCATACATGTATATGTTGACTCCCTTTTCTACTTTTATTTTTAAAAGTATTCATACCTGAAAACACGGTAAGTTAACCTTAAACAATAAAAAAATAAAAATATTCATACCTGAAAACACGGTAAGTTAACCTTAAGCAATTTAAAAAACATAAAATAAAATTAACTAATCAAGTAAAATCCTTAAAGAATATTTAGTTATGATTTAAAGAGGAAAGAAGGAACCTACAAAGAGAAGCAAAGAAAAAAAGTCAAATAATTTTCTCTGAAAGAAAACTCATGATTCATATAATCAAGAATCCAAAAAAAATAATTAAATATATAATTACAATAGAAAAAAATGATAATTATATTATGCATATCAAATCATTTTACCTCGTAAAAACAAACTATGCAAAACTGCCTAATATTCTTCATTATAAATATCTCTCCTGCAAATAAGACAAAAGATGAGGAATAAAAAAAATGAAAATAGCAATCATCATATGTCTCAAAATAGGTTTTTATAAGTGTGCTGTTGAGGAGTTATAAAAATTGTATTATTAAAATAAATTTTGAAAGGGTTATGAATATGAAAGGTTAGGAGTTATAGATGTTACTAATTTAATTATGTAATTGAAGAGGTATGAATTAAAGAGATGATTTTATAAAATAAAATAATTGAAATAAAATAGAATAAATATAAAAAAACCACAAAAAAAAAGATTTTTGGCCATTAAGAGGTGCCACGTTACTTCTTTTTTATCTAGCTTTTTTATATATATATATAGAGAGAGAGATTTGATGTTGACATTAATAATGAAGGTAACATCAACATGTATGTTTTTCATGCACGCATTTTGTAACTTAATGTAACATACATTTTCAACTTTACTTTCATATAATTTTTTGAATTATTATAAATATCGAGTGTGAATAAGAACAAGTTAGTTTCAAGTAAATGATTAGCCCATCTCCCGCACCCCATTAAAAAGGAAACATCTGCTTAAGATTTCAATAATTGAGTTTGCATAATTTTCAGAAACTTATTTTACAAAAAAGTTTTTTTTTTTTTTGGAAAATAATGAAATATCAGAATATATTTGTTTTCTTGAAGATTATTTCATAACACACCGAACACTCAAAATAGATTTTAGATTATTTTTTTTGGGGAACGACTATGTTACGTTCTTGCAAAAACTTTAACCTTATGGCTTATAATTGTGAATATATGATATTCAATCTATCTCAATTTATATGACTTACTTTCTTTTTTAGTTAGTCCCTAAGAAAAAAGGACACATTTCTATATTTAGTAATAATTTAACTTTAAAATTTAAATTTTATCCTCAATGAAATGATTTCTAGCCACATAAATCTGACTTATTTTAGATTACAAATTTCAAAAGTCCTTTTTTTCTTTCTTAAACTTCGTGTCAAGTCAAATTAACTTATATAATTTGAGACGGAGATAATACTATACTAAACATACACAACTATTATACAAGACACGTCTCTAGGGAGCGTTGGACGTTGGTAGCTCAAACCATAGTCCACAAGGGTAACAATCTAATCGCACTCATTTGTATCAATTCAATGAATACATAAATTTTATCACTGAAATATAGTTAACTAACACATAATTTTACTTTAATTTATGACAAATTGATATGATTCGATTTAAGTATAGGTGTGTAAATATTTTTTTTGCGTCCATAGATGATATGGAAAAAACAAGGAGCTACAACTAGGAAAGACTATTGCATCAAAGTAACATTAATTCCAATTTCTCATTCACTTGGCTAATTAAGATTACAAATCTTCCCCTCTTATTGAAACTTCAGTAGATGAACTTTTCCAACCATGACAAAAACAGATATCCTTATCTAGTCATGGCAAAAATCAAGTGAAATATGTACTTCTGATGATCATATAACACCAACAGATGGAAGACTACTATTCCAAAAAAAAAAAAAACTTGAGAAGAATCTGAATTTTGCAAATCCAAATGAAACAGAAATCAATCTGCAAAAAATAAAAAAAAAGTGAGACACTTGGATGAATATATAATGACATATGATTCAAAGTACTTTTTCAAGCTAAGGGTGTTCATACCTCATGATCTTTTCAAGAACTGGCTATAAGAAGCCAATCATATCTCTAGTACAATGACTGCAGCAAAAGAATGCAGTGAAACTTTTAGATGAAATGGTTACGGTGAAAAATGGGACACATATTGAAGTGGTTTGAGTATGAGAAAACTTACAATCAGAATCTGACTTATCCCATTTGCTCCCATTCTTCACAGTACTGTCAAATGCTTCGTTGTCTTGATCAGTATCACTCTCAATCATACATATATTGTCTATGTATCTCTTTCTTGTGGTAGTACCCCTTGGACTGCTTGCTTGAGGATATATCTTTTTGTGTAATATAGCCCTCAGAATCTGATATTTAAATTTAAGTATAATTACTTCATCAAGATTAATTCATTGCATGTGAAAATGCATGAGTAAGAGTGCAAACCTTTTCCATCCTTGATTTCTCAATTTTGGACTGTGGAAGTACTGGATCCCTCAAAGGGGCTGCGAATCCCGCGCTGCAGAACAATGTCTTCTTTAGGAGATATGACAAAGATTTCTTGCTAATGTTCTCCAATTGGGAAGATTGTTCTTGGCTTCTAACATGAACAAGAGTACTATTACTCCGTTCGAAAATGTTCTCTTTATTATTTTCAATAACTCTGTGATCATCATCTACCAAGTTCTGAAGACAGTCAAAGAATTTGTCAAGATCCTTTTTTGATCCTATCTTGGCTGAAAGAGGATTACTTTCTTCATGATCAGGAAATAGATGTTTTAGTTCATTGTGAAGTTGTCCAACTTCTTCAACTGTAAGACTTTGATCTTGTTGTTTCAAATTACCATCATTTTTCCAACTTCCAAATGTACCAATAGCAAGTAGTTCATTAGGCCAGTCACTGAATTCTTCTTTGCATGATTGATGCAACATATGATCTATCAAGTAGAAGACATTTGAGTAAAACAGATAACATGTATGATTTGACTTATTCCCCTGCACATATAAATCAAGAATACTTACGCGTGACCGCCACTGGATTTGACTTATAAGTACTTTGTTTTCCATTAATCTTGGTTTGAATCCAACTAAAAATCTGTTATCATGAGGCTAACATTAACATCTAAACAAATATAATGATCATTCTTCAACATATGCAAAAAATGACAACTTACTTTCATGTTAATGGAAGGATAGACTTTTGACAACTCTTTAATCTAGCTAGCTACAGAGGAAGAGATGTTTATTAGTGTCAAGAGTGGGCTTGGAAAAATTTATACACAAATCTCTTAAGCCAAAGGAAGATATGCATCTTGCCCTTTTATATAGAGATGGGAAGGGAGAAGAATCCAGGATTTAGAGTTATCCCCTTTTTAATTTAATTGTTAATCATATTATATTCTTAAAATAATTTTGTACACATAGTTCGAGCTGAAAGTAGTAAATTTAGTTGAACATGCAGATCAACCGGCTATAAATTCACCTCTAAACAGGGTCATTATATTAGTTCAAGTATATATTTTAATGTACTTTGCTTATCACTACTAGAAAACTGTAAATTACCTGGAGATTATTTTCGCAGAAATTTTCTACGAATTTTGTTGAGAAAATATGAAATTTCTTAATTCTGGACTTTTTTACCTGCGAAAAATTGGTAGGTAAATTTGGCGCCCTTTTCATAAAATTATTACCTAGAGAATTATTTGGGGCAAACAATTTGCAAGTACCATTTTCATAGGTGAATTCGCAAGAAATGAAAAAAAAACTATTTTTAAATTTGTTTGAAAGAAATTCCTAAATAAACTTATTTCCCGATCCAGTTAGAAATAATTACTTAAAAAAATATTTAGAAATAATTTTATATGTGATATTACCTGGAGATTTATGTTCAACGAATTTTGTTGGGAATTTATTTCTTGAGGATTTACTTGGGATTTTTTTTAGTTGTAAAATTACTTGGGGGTTTTATTATTGTGAATTTGATTGGAGATTTTTTGAGGAATGCATACTTGAACTTTTTTAAATATAAATTAAGTGAGAGTTTTTTTTAATCTAAGAACTTGTTTTATTTGAAAACTTCGAGGAATATTTTCTTTTAAATATATTTAACCAAATAAAAAATTACAATAATATAAAAAATAACAATGACATTAGAATGAATTTTATTTTTAAATATCTACTATACTTTTAGATTAGATAATTATTATACAATAATATCAAACTAATACGGTGTTGGAGCATTACGACAAATGTCATTATCAATATTTTTAACTTATCACAAGAAACCAATGATGCGGTTTTTTTTTTCAATTTAAAAGATAGAAACCTATAAAATAATATGGCTTGTTATTTATCTAATAGAAAAATAACTATCATAAAAGTAATTAATTTTGATTTAATATTATTTATATTAAATTGTGTATGATTGAATAAGTCAAGCATTATGTTAAAGTATAGGAAAATTCTATGATATACATTATTAACGTGAAGTTTAATTACCCTTCATTGATAAAATTATATTAAATGAAAAATAAATAAATTTTACTTGTATATCCAATTGATATTTTTTATAAGCATTAAAAATGACATAATTTCTATGTATATAGTAAGTTATTAAATGATATTTATTTGGAAATATATAATTAAGTATGTTAAAATATAATTATTAAAACATAAATTAAAATTAAAAATACCACAAATACTTAATAAGATATACTATCAATTATTGATTATAACTTTCTTGCACTTTAAACTTATAAATTTATTTATATTTTCAATTATTTATTTATAAAAACTGTGTGTATAATTTAAATTTTGTATATGTTTAATATGCTTAGTTATGGACATTATCTCATAGGAAGTGTAAGCATAAAATTTTCATGAATGTTGGGTGGTAGTGATTTATTTTAAATATATAAATAATTGTCATGTTTCACTTTTTAAGAGTCAAATTACATGAACTTTAGCCAATATTTAAGATATATTATATTACCATATTGATATGAGACAAATTAAGAGTACTTTTTTAGAATTTATGAATATCTAAATGGTATTTTAAATACTCAATTACGTTAATAAAATTTTGCTTTAAAAATTAATCAAATTGGAGAAAGATACAAAAAATTAGTGTAGTGTCATTGTTCTTTTGTACCACATCGGAAAGAGACACCAAAAATTTAGCGTTTATAATGCTATGACATAGAATATTGGTAGAATGGAATTTCAAGAAGCAACTATAAATGAGTAGGCATGGAATCTCATGGGGACTTGACATTAGGAGGGAAATTAAATTGAACGGGTGAGTAGTTGTGTGAGAAATATGGATAGGTAGATACATATGTGTCTAGGTAGGGGGTTCAATGAATAATATAATAAATAAATAGGAGATAATAATTAATATTGTTTAAAGTTTATTTGAATATCTTTGTACGGCTTTACTTGCGAATAAATTTGCAAGAAATTTCATTTTTTTTTGTATTTTTTTGCAAGAAAATCCCCAAGTAATTTACCTGTGAAATTTAAATCCCTAGGTAAATTAGTTGGGAATTTTGAAATTCGCAGGAAATAATTACCTACGAAGGTTTTACCTTCGGATTCATTTTTATTGAAAATCTGCAGGAAACTTATTTTCCTGTGAATTTTCATACATAATCCCTAGAAAAATTCCCATGTAATTCACACTTTTTTTTTAGTGTATGTCATTTTCCGTTTCGACCAATTCGAAAGCTTATATAAGGTACTATTGTTAATGCAGAAAGTACATGATCAAGTTGGAGGGGTATGCTCAAATAGATTGCAAAAAATATACCACAATGCAATCTTAAAATTATAATACAAGAGAAGGGCGGCTCAATATAATTGGCGGGGTGTGTGGGAATAGTACATTAACGTTAGTGGCAAATGTGTGTATGACAGGATGGATTAATGTGAGTGTCAAATATATATGAACATTTTTGTTGCTTGTCCTTATATATGGGGATAAGTTATAGAATACCATAAAAAGGAAAAGTGATTCATGGGCCAAACAAAAGCAGACATAGCTTTGAAACAGAAATAACATAAAAAACAACCTAAAAGTGATAGGGTATAGGCCTGCAGGCCATGACCCCGTGGGGATGTCTCTCACTACCGGGACCCTCTAAAATTCCTTTACCACCTAAACAATTTGACTTTACATCAACATATGATAGGTGATCAAACATACTCTACTGTCATCAAAATTATTTTCTACATTCATATTTGTGACCCTAGCTAGATTAAAAGGTGATCAAAATATCCATTTTTTTTGTGGTTTTTGATAGACACTCAACGATCTTCACTTTTATGCCACACTAATTGCATTTTCGATTGACCAAAATGTGGATTAATCTTCCCTATACCTTACACGAATTACCCTTTGGATTGACCCATCAGATGGTTTGATTTATCTAATCTATTACAAAAATGGTCAATTGTGCTGGATGACAAATAGTTACTACTACTAGGTAAAGGAAAAACTAGTTTATAGGCATGTTACTGACATTTGTTACTTGATTTTAGACAAAATGGCTAGAAGGGTACATAAATATGACATTATTGAGAGTTGAGACGTTTACAAATTATTGTTTACTCTAATTAGAAGCTCATCAGATATCAAAAAGTTCTCTAGACAAGCCTTCCTGTGACATTGATAGGTATAAATATCCTGCACATATTTCCAAATCACTATTTCTTGACTTTTACCTCTTCTACTGTTTTGCCTAACTAGGATTTGAAGTTTATGTTGTCAATATTGTAATGTTTTAAAGCTATTGAGTTCTAAATCAATAATTGTACAAATTCAATAAATTTCTTAATACAACCACAATATTTGAACTAAAGAATTGATATTGATTTTGACTGAATCTGTAACCAAACCGCTACTTCCCCTGATTACCACACCTCCCATTGGGTTAACATATCAACCAATCTAAAAAATTGATTCCTATTAATATGGTGTGACATTGTCTGATTCTGGCCTAAACTCGTATGTTCTTTCACTTTTTCGAGAGATGTTAACTATTTACAGAAATCGTACATCTTATTCATAATCCCCTCCCCTCCTCTATAAACCTTTAATATGGAATTTTATTTACACATTCAACACTTTCACCCTACGTCTTTCACTTTATCTTCCATTCACCTTCTCACCCTCCATGAAATCTAGCATAATTTTGTCAAAAATCTCACCAAGATTTCCATTTGTTTTACTAGGGACTCTCCAAAAAAGTCACCCAAGCACGTGAAGTTTGTCCATACCACATGGGTCATTGCTATTTTTACATATAGATTAAAGTTTTGTCCATGCATACTTGCTTACTTATCGTGCTAGCTGTGATTGGTTTGCTAGACTCAAACCTACGTGTCAAAGAACACTAATTTGATCAACTTTAATCATACATTATCCAAACAACACGTGTGAATGTCAATTCTTAAAGATCCAGGAGCTAGACTCTCTTTTCTATGTTTAGGTTCCTTGTCATTAGTACAAATAAAAATTATTATTGTTATATATACCTTTCATGTGACAACCTTGCTACTTTTAATGTTTCTTGTTTTACTAAATCCGTATCCTTACTCCAATAAACAGCTCATTCTATGAGAAAATTCAGATACAAATGAATTAGCCAATAATCTCATTCCTGTTGTATTGTATTATAGTACTGTTTTATTTTAATGAATATAACATTTGAATAGACTATATCATTTTCTATCATAATAGGGATAAACATATAATTATTAGATAATAATTAAACAAAAACAAAATTAAAAAAAAGAGAGAAGAAATTCATGACGCGATCACATCATATTGATAACGATACAATAAGTAGCAACCATCCAAACAAGGCGTAAGTTAAAAGACTCACCTAAGAAATATAGTACTAATTACATTGCATAAATATGCTTAAAGGTCCAATCATTCTGCAGCAAATGTTACTTATGGCTTATCCTGTTTGTGGTCCTGTATCTTACTTAACAAGTAATTAATTAAGTATAGGTTTTAGCTTTCTAATTATTTACATAACAAACCATGTATAGTTTGTGGTCCATGAACATTCTCGTGCAATGCTGATATTAACATGATTTAGTCCTCAAATATAGAAAAAATTAACATACTTAGAAAGTCATCTGAAAAGCATATTCCAGTTTCATCAAACAAGAATATACAAGAAAATTCACAATGATTTTTCTTTTGATAAATTGTACTTAGTAAAAACGCCAATGATTTAATACTGATTTAGGCAGGGCGAGACGAGACGGGACGTGGATTTCCTCCAAACCAATTTTATGAAAATCATCGTAAATAGTTCTTTGCATCTTTTTGCACTGATTTTA